AGAAGCAGGGGGGGACGGGGCGAGGGGGGGAGAAGCGAATCAGCCGGCGGGATGCGGGACTGATCCGGGCACATGCAAACCAAGGCACACGAGTGAGTCCGGCACCGGGAATTCCATTTTTCCCCTCCCCCCCGCAATACCCTCCCTTGAGTAGTTGCGAAGTGCCTGGCTGGTAGGCACACTCACGCAGTGTTAGCACATCTACCAGTCAGGCAGTTTGCAGCTACGGACTGATACACCTAATTATAATAAAACTTACCCAATTAGAAAATACAGGACATTTTATATGTCTGGTATGTTCTCAATTTGTTTCCCAGACAGAACCCTCCAATACTGGACTGTCCGGTACAAAACCAGACACTTGGCAACCCTACCCGTCCTTGCAGCCGCCCTCCTAGCCAGATACCCTACCCTCAATCTGCTCTTGCTCCCGCGTCCTGGAGTGCCTGTGCAGCACTGGGTCCCTGAAGCTCTGGCCCAGGCTGGGCAGAGGATGCTGCTGGGTGAAACACTGAAATTTATTTATTTTTAATTCTTTTTTTATATGTGTTTATATGTTTGGGCTGCAAAAAACAGTACTAAAAAAAAAAGGGTTCCAACTCAAGTAAAAAGTTTTGGAAACCCTGGTCTAGCCAGCTTTCTATCCATCTTACAGTTCATTTCTCCAATCCATATTCCCTTACCTTGCTGGCAAGAATATTTTGGGTGGCTGTATCAAAAGCTTTGCTATTGCTGGCACTGGGGACTTTGGGAGGACCAGAAACAACTTATTTGAATATTCATCATTTGCTTAATGAATATGCAAATATATGTTACCGGTCCTCCAAAAGCTCGTGAATGGATTTACTGGTCCCCATGTCAAAAAGTTTGGGAACCCCTGCTGTAGCTCTTTCTGATTTTAATGACAAATATTTTAATATTGGGAGGCCATGACTATGCAGTCTGCAAAAGGAAAAGGCACATAATAGCATAGCCAGAGCATGTACATATTTTGAAATACAGGTTGTACCTCCCTGGTCTGGTACCCTGGGGATCTGACTAGTCCCAGACCAAAGAAATGCTAGACCCTCTGCAGTTGCCGCTTGTGAGGTTCTGCTTCCTTGACAGCGGAGGGACGGCATTGACTGAGGAAAGACTGGGGGATGGGAGGAAGGTGCAGAGAGAGTCATGGTGGCTGCAGAGCCCCACAGCTGAGGGCCATGATTTAGTCCCGTAACTGGCCCCCATCATTGACCACAGGGCTGTGCTCCTGGCATGGCAAGCCCCCCATATCAGCTCCTAGCCTCTACTGTTGGCCAGTTCCTGTTCCTCCCCCTTCTTCCCTGAACTTGAACACAACCACATTCCGGAAGCTCTGGAAGGGCAGGGGCGGAGTTACTGAGCAGGAGACATCCCTCCTCCAGATTGGGAGTTTCCACTGGGATTCCAGACAAGGGATGTTGCTGGATGAGGAAAGTCCATCTTGTATTAGCTGTGCTCCTGGAGAGACTGTGTCCTACTAGCTAAGAAATATCATTTTTGTATGGTGTGTGTTGTGTGAGCTACATAATTAGAGGAAAAAAAACTAACTAAAAACTGGGAAATTCACGGCTTAAATTGTGTTCTGACTCCCTTCACCCCTTGTCCACTCACTGTCTTGGGAACTCTCAGCACGCGGTTAATTGCTCAGAAATCTGCTAGTGTGCACATTCATGCATACTATCCAAAATAACTTATTACCTATGTATGACCTGAATCACGTGCTAATTCTGACTTCAAATACAAATGGGATGTATCAATATTTTTGTTGGAAATTAATCAAATAAATATTAGAAGTGCTACAGAAAGTGATGTATAGTCATAGAAACTAGGACCCAAGCTTGAATTTTTGGCAGGCATAAGTATCTATTTCTGAGTTCCTTTACAGGAAGGAGAGAACTCAAGCTATTTTTATTTGTTTCCCAAGATATTGAGATATTTAATTTATAGAAGAGTGCTTTAGATTTTGTCCTATTGCATTGTAGTGTCACATGGTATATAAGGAAGGCAGAGACCAGAAAATCCATTTATGTGTAACTTTCAAATTATTGGTAACATTCAGTTATGTGTTTTTTTTTTTTTTTTTATTAGGGATATAAAATCCTGTTAAATGGTTAAACATAGTGCTAGCACTATGTTTAACCATTTAACTGATTAAACTGGTGTAGGCGGGGGCCAGGAGAGGGGGCAGAGGTCCCTGACACATTTCTTCCCCTCCCCCCCACGGGAGCTGCCACCGTGGGCAGGGGCTGCTCCCCGGTACTGGTTAACTGTAACTCGGTAAGCATCACCAATTAAAGGTGATGCTTGCGGGATAACCGTTTATCTGGTTACCCTTTAACATCCCTTGTTTTTATCAGTAACTTCAAGACTAGTTCAGCCCTTTTGTAAATTAAATTTTATAGTGTATGATATATCAGCATTGGTCTTGTTTGTTTTATCTTCTTTTGATAATTAACAAAGCAAGTCCCCACACTGATTCTCTTAGATTTTATCGCCTGTTTTACCTATTTTATTTTTTTAGTTTTACATGTGGTAATATAGTATATGTAGTTATACTATCAAAAAACCTTTTGTGTACAAACTCATTTTTACCCAGAAAGTATCATGTCCCTGCAATGTCTGGTAACTAAATCATTTACTTTTTTTAAATTGGATTTTACAAAAGTATTCAGTGTTGTTTTTCTGCCGACCTCACTGTCCTATATGATTAATTGAGTCAGAATTCTATAGACTGTGTGGTATATTTTACTACAGACTATAAATGTAATTTAACAATGTGTGTTATCAACCAGTTTAAAATTCCTAAAAAAAAAGGTCTGCCACTGCTTCCTGTTATTATTAAATAGATTACAATACCCTAAAAGGCAAAATAAAAACCTCATACAGTTGTTACTCTCTTTAGACAACACAAATCTTCAGTGTTTTTGTCTTTTTTAAATAAAAATGCATCTTTATTAAACTGTAATGCATATCTGTTTTGTGGCTTTCTCTTAGTTATATTAATACTGATCTAGCATGTACTTATGAAGTTTAAAGAGATATGGTAAAGTTAAATAATACTTAAACTAAATGTACTTAAGTGTTAATTAAATATATTCTAACATTTGAAATTAAAAAAATGTTTTTGTTACTTACAGTGAGTGCTTACTTTGTGCAGTTGACTCACTGTGCACTGGGAATTCAGACTGCTTGATTTCTAATATGTTTTTTGGTGATTCAATAGTCTGGCTCTTTTGCAGTAGAGCAATAGTACAATGCCTGGTTGCATATAATGCAGGGTAATGTTTAAATCTGAACAAACCAACTGCTTTGCAAAACAAAAAATGAAAATATTCTATTGTATTTGTGAAACTAGAAACTAACAAATTACTTGACAGCAACCTTTTCAGGTCTTGACAAACTAGGAAGACTTCAGAGGGGTAGCCAAGTTAGTCTCTGGTTGTATCTTAGGGCTTGGCTGTATACCAGAGTTGTTGACTCGAGTCCCAGGACTTGAACTCGAGTCCGACTTAAGTCATCTAGGTGACTTGACTAAAGACTTGACTCGGGTTCATTGTTTGTGACTTGAGACTCGACTTAAGACTTGCTAATTTTGATAAATAGACTTGGTGAAAAAATTGTCCGAAAATGCCGATGTTGATGGATTGTACAAAAGTGACTTGACATTTTTAAAATTAAGACTTGAGACTCGACTTGGACTTGACAATGACAACTTGAAGACAACATTGCTGTATACAATAGATTGAGAAATGTGTCTGGGATGGAAGCTGGAGGCATGAAGGTGTAAGTGTCGGTCACTCTGGAAAGTACCCTCCCTGGTGCTGATAGACCAAGGGTGGGCAAATACTAGCCCGCCTGCTGGATCTGATCCACCAGGATTAGCCCCGGTAGTCTGCTGCTGCTATATTTATCTGTGCCTCCGCAAGTATGAGCAGTTGCAGCTACGGATCACTATTCCCAGCCAGTGGGAAGCGGTGTACCGGTCCACAGCTCTCATTGGCCAGGAACGGCAATTTATGGCCAGTGGGAGCTGCAATTGCTGGTACCTACAGAGGTGCAGGTAAATATAGCAGCGGCGGGCCACCCAGGGGCTGGCCCCAGCAAACTGCCACTGTTTTATTGCACACCCCTATGATAGATAGACATATGCCAGCTTTGCTTAAGCAAGCACACTAAAAATAGCACTGTAGCCGCAGCCGCACAGACAGTAGATTAATGGGGACGTTAAATTGCGTGTAATTGACTAATCAAATAGTCTATTCATTTTGCATCGACTATTCGACTAGTCAATAGGGAGTCTCTGCTTTTGAAGTGTAGAAACAGCCCTGGGACTCCCCGCTGACCCTGGGCTCCGTGCGGCGCTGCTGTTTTGAAAAGCTGCAGGAGCCTGGCGCCAGGCTCCTCCTGGCATTTCAACATGGAGCCAGAGGGTAGCTGGGATTATTTTGGATTTATTATAATCTGGGAATCACATAAATAACCTTTTTTTGTGGCCACAAATCCAAAACAGTGGTGAACTGTGAATTTATGTGACCTCTAAAAGATTCATGTGAAATAAAGGAGAAATTGACATAGGAAAGTTTCCACAGTGAGTAAATTGCTCCTCCAAATACCCCCACCTTGCTTATTGAGGTTATAAAGAAAATAAAACACTGCACATATAACATAAATAAATGTTTTAATACAACTGCTGACTAGCACTCCCGGTCTGTCACAGATTCAGTGACTATTAAGAGACCACCTAGATAAAACACCCCGTGATTCATTTACATAGTTCATTCCCATTACCTTTACAGATTGTGCAGCAGATCTATTGGTATCCTAGAACTCTAATGTCCTAAACGCAGCAGGGGAGAGATCTCTTTTGTCCTTGGCTTTACTAGTTTACATCTCTAATTTCACTTTTTCTCCTCCCTTTGCATTTCCTTCCCATGCCTTTGATCATTCA